CCTCTCCTCGTAGCTCTTGCCCTTCAGTTCTGGGAGCCACTTAGTAGCATGTCTTTGCACCTTTTCCAGTTTGTTGATGTGCTTCTTAAGATATGGGCACAGTGAAGAGCAGAGGTGCCATAGGCACAATCAGAGAACACTGTATAAACATCAGAGGTCCGCAGTTGTTCAACGTCCTACCAGCACATATCAGAAATATTGCTGGAACAACCGTGGACATCAAGAGAAAACTAGACTGTTTTCTAAAAGAAGTTCAGGACCAATCGGGCTGTGGTGGGTATGTGGGCCTGCGGGCTGCTCCAAGCAACAGCCTGGTTGACCAAACTCTCAAAAGTCAAGCCTGGCCTCGGGCCAGGCTTGGGGAGTAGAAGAACTCCCAGAACTCCATCGAGCAGGTATCAAGCAGGAGGCTCCCCGGCAACCCCGCTCCCCCTGGTCAGCGTTTTTTTGTGTGTCCAATATCGTTTCTTCAGATATCCAGAATTACAGATACAATTACACACCGAAAGGGAACTACAACTACGCCAGGCAACTGCTCTACAACAATCTGTACTGGTCAGAACTAACTCATTATGTCCACGCATAATGGGCTTGCCGAAAAAGTCTCCCATTCAAACTATCACTAATAGAGTAACTTCTTTCATCTTTGCCAACATACAAGGACTGAAAACAAGAACAAACAACAAAGTACAGTTCATAAATGGCCTCCTCACGGAGTCAAATGCAGTATTTGGAGCTTTCACAGAAACCCATGCAGGGGAATTGTTGGACAGTGAGATCTGGATTCCAGGATATAACCTATACAGGTGTGATAGGAAAATTAGGTCACATGGAGGAGTGGGTCTGTATATTAGGGAAGACCTTGTATGCTCGGAGCTCCTAAATGTTACAAATGAGGTGGTAGAGGTACTGGGATTAAAAATAGAGAAAATAAATTTAGTGATTATTCTAATATACAAACCGCCAGATGCAACGGCTGAGGAATTCACAGAACAGATAAACAAAATAGAGAATAGCCTTGATAATTTGGAGAACCCAATACCTGATATTATCTTCCTAGGTGACTTCAACTTGCCTAGTCTCAGGTGGAAAATAGCAAACAATAATATTATACCAGGAAATCTATCAGGACCTAACCAACCACAGATTAGAGAACTACTTAGATTCTGTGACAAAATTTCACTCAATCAGCAGATATCGGAGCCAACGAGAAATTAAAATATTTTAGATCTGGTCTTTACGAACAATGAAGACATTATCACGAGACATTACGATATCAGATACCACATACTCAGATCACAAGCTCATTGAAGTGCAAACGACCATCAATACTCAGAATAGACCTAAAACGTTGATAAAGCGAGAGGGGCTATTCAGTAAATTCAATTTTAATAATAAAAGGATAGACTGGGAGATAATAAACAGGGAACTTACAAACATTCCATGGGAAACTGTTCTAAGTAATACAAGTCCTACAGAAGGAATAGAAAAACTGACTTCGGAAGCGTATCAAGTCTGTCTGAAACATGTTCCTTTGAGAAAAGCCAGAAAGAGATCAAACGTAGAAAGAGAACGCAGACGACACTATAAACGCAGGAAAAAAATAACGGAACTGCTTATGCAGACACGAATTTCCCGTCAAAGAAGGAATAATTTAAATAGGGAGATTGAAGAAATCGAGCGGAAATTTAAACACACACATGAAACTGAAGAAAGGCAGTTAGAACAGAAAGCAATTCAGGAAATAAAGAAAAATCCAAAATATTTCTTCACATATGCAAAATTAAAAGCAAAGACCACTGCCAGTATTGGACCTATTCGTACAAGTGAAGGTTCATACACGGAGGATGACAAAGAAATTAGTGAAATCCTAAAAAAGCAGTATGAGGACATGTTTAGCACTCCAATAAACAACATGAAAGTGGAAGATCCAGACAATTTCTTTATGCGGGATATTCAAACCCCTGTAAATATAACTGATATCAACACGAGCGCAAAAAATTTTGAAAGAGAAATTGAAAACATGCCCATGCACTCGGCCCCAGGTCCAGACTCATGGAATTCAATATTTATAAAGAAATGCAAAGTGCCGGTAGCACAGGCACTCAGTATAGTGTGGAGGAAGAGCTTGGACACGGGGGAGATACCAGATGCACTTAAAGTAGCAGACATAGCCCCTCTACACAAGGGAGGGAGCAAAGCATTGGCAAAGAATTATAGACCAGTTGCACTAACATTGCACATCATAAAAGTATTTGAGAGAGTGATTAGGAGTCAGGTCACCAATTTCATGGAGACCAATGACCTTCACAACCCAGGCCAACATGGATTTGGAGCGGGAAGATCGTGCCTCTCACAGCTACTTGAGCACTACGACAAAGTCACTGAGGCATTAGAATAAAACAGAATGCTGATGTGATATACACGGACTTCGCAAAGGCTTTCGATAAATGTGACCATGGCGTGATAGCACACAAAATGAAGTCAATGGGAATAACCGGTAAAGTAGGACGCTGGATACTCAGTTTTCTGTCAAACAGGACTCGGCGAGTAACGGTCAACCATATAAAATCTAGTCCAAGTGCAGTTAAAAGCTCTGTACCTCAGGGTACAGTCTTTGCACCGCTGCTTTTCCTTATTCTCATATCAGATATAGACAAAAATACAAGTCACAGCTTCGTATCATCCTTTGCAGATGACACAAAAATCAGTATGAAAATTATCTCTGCTGAAGACACTGAAAAACTTCAAGCTGATATTAATAAAGTTTTCGACTGGGCATCAGAAAATAACATGATGTTTAACAGTGATAAATTCCAGGTACTCAGGTACGGTAAAAATGAGGACCTTAAACATAATACAGAGTACAAAACACAATCAAATGTACCCATAGTAGGAAAACAGCATGTAAAGGATTTGGGAATAATAATGTCTGACGACCTAACGTTTAAGGAGCATAACCAAGCAAATATTGCGACAGCCAGAAAAATGATAGGATGGATTACGAGAACTTTCAAATCCAGGGATCCCATCACAATAGTTGTACTCTTCAAGTCACTTGTGTTGTCCCGTCTTGAGTACTGCTCAGTACTCACTTCCCCCTTCAGAGCAGGAGAGATTGCTGAAATAGAGGGAATACAGAGAACATATACGGCACACATAGACGCAATAAAGCACCTAAATTATTGGGATCGTCTCAAAGCCCTCCAAATGTACTCACTAGAAAGAAGACGAGAGAGATATCAAATAATATACACCTGGAAGATACTGGAGGGCCAAGTACCAAATCTACACAGTAAAATAACAACGTACTGGAGTGAACGATATGGAAGAAAATGCAGAATAGAACCAGTGAAGAGTAGAGGTGCCATAGGCACAATCAGAGAACACTGTATAAACATCAGAGGTCCGCGGTTGTTCAACGTCCTACCAGCAAGCATAAGAAATATTGCCGGAACAACTGTGGACATCTTCAAGAGGAAACTAGATTTATTCCTCCAAGGAGTGCCGGACCAACCGGGCTGTGGTGGGTATGTGGGCCTGCGGGCCGCTCCAAGCAACAGCCTGGTGGACCAAACTCTCACAAGTCAAGCCTGGCCTCGGGCCGGGCTTGGGGAGTAGAAGAACTCCCAGAACCCCATCAACCAGGTATCAACCAGGTGTGTGTTGACATCCAGCCTAAGAACTGGTGGTTGGATCGCCGGCACGGTGGGTCTGGGGCTCCCAGCTCATGTGACGTTATGCTTGTTTGCTCGTTTTCATTTGCGGAGTTCTGTCCACTTGTTTGTCTATTTTCAGCACTTTAACCAGAATAGGTGTTTGCTTTGAGGCATTTACCTTTCCGAGTGCCTCTCCTGGTCGATGGCAGATATAGAATGCTTCAAATCACTTGTGCATTTCTATAGGCCATTGCTCCTCGTGCCTCTCTGAGGGGGCCAGGTTCTGGCTCATGGTCCCTGGTAGGCCTTGAACTCCATACACACTGACTGATGCCAAAGTTTAATGATAATACATATCATCCTGGATAGCTCTGAGGGGTTTCCGGGTCTCACTTAGAAAATGGCATTTCATTACATTCAATGCTGGTTTTTTCTTTGAAATTTATATAGTAATAGTTATTCTAGAGCTATTAAGAAATTATCTAATGTATAATACAGTATTGCAGTGTTAGTATTTAGGAATTCAATTAATATAGCATACAATATTTTAGTGCTCTTGGGAATTTGGCATATAGAAACCAAGTGGGCACAATATGCAAGAGTAACATTAATTCAACGTTGAATCACGCTATCAACATTTAACGATGTCACTGTTGCTTCAACATCGATAATGTTACTCTTGGATATTGTGACCAATGGGAATATGCTGAAGTAGGCTTTAGAGTTAATATGAGTTATCCTTAATTTTGTGTGTCTGTGATAGAAAGTGTACAGTGTTGCCTTGTGGTATGTTTGTGTGTACCTTTGGAGAGACCTGCTAGCCATTGACAGCTGACTGTCTGGTATCTCATGCCTCTTACCTGTTCTCGATTTGTAGCCGTGTAAATTATTTATTTTTTTCCCAAAGATTTGTTTTGTTTAGCCAACTTAGCTGGTTGTTGCTGTAATATTTACTGTATAAACAAATATAACTTTCCAAGTTTTGGATTTAATTTATAAAATAAAAAATAGTAAAATTTTGTATAATGTATGAAAGCATTTTACTTAGTACTGTCACAGGGTAATTATTGTTTGGTCTGCTCTGAATATGCAGCTATCCCTAACAGCATGGTAATCTGATGGGCAGCCTTTATTACTTACACTGTAACAAGGATGCATGTTGAGTCACATTCAGCTAATATTAAGCTACTTATTACCCGTATTTTTTAAGTACTATTTAGTTGTGCAATGTATTAGCATTTAAAAAAAGATGAACAAGAGTAACCCTCATTTAGAATTCCCCACACTTCCATGCCACCTATGCTGCCCGCTTCCCTCTCGTTTGCTAACACCTTTAAATAGTTGGTGAGTATGATATAAATAGGGTTTACCCCCATTTCATATTTTTTTGTTTGAGAGCGTGTTTTTGTTTTGGTGCTTTGAGCGCTATTTGTGCACGGTTCACTCTCCAGGTCATAGTCAGTCCTGTCTTTAGGAATCTTGTGGTTTGTAGGCCTTGTGTCCCAGAGCCTAGAGGACATGTGTAGTTACTACTCTTCATATAGGGTGACTTCTAGTACCTATATTATTTGCAACAAAAATCTTAAAAAAAATTTTTTTGAAAGAGTGCAAGAAGCTTCATGATACATGCTATCAGAATATGAAAAACAATCATTCACATGTACAAAATTTAAATGGTTAAATGTAAATATATTTTGTAAAATAATATTTACAAGTGTAGGATGGGAATGGGATATTGCAGTTGATGAAAGGCCAGAGCAGAGTTGTGAATGATGTTCAAATTTATATAATAGATGGTTAAGGAAATGTACTTTTCTCCATAAATTTACTTTCTTGTGCAATAAAATGAATACTTTTTACTCCTCCAGTAATTCTTGTGCGTAAAATAATTTCTAAGTGTTTGAATGCATGGAATTGTTTTAAGGAATTACAGTACCTAAACAAAGGAGGTACAGTACTGTACATGGATGAACTACTGTACTCAGACGATAGCCTCAAATAAGAGCTGTCACGAGATGGGCGTTAAAATTTGTTGTTGCATGAAATATTAATATCCTGAAGTCTCGTTTAGACAAAATAAAATGTTACAGATCTGAAATTGTTAAGGGTAAGTTGTTTAGCATGCATTTATAGCAGTTGCCTCTGTTTTTTATGTTATTAAATATCAGTGTTGAATGACCATTTACAATTTTGTTTTTTGTTTTTTTTTCAGTGGGAAACAAAAATGATTGTCCTGATAGGAAGGTTGTATTGTATGAAGATGCCAAACGTTTCGCTGATCAAATGAATATTAAGCTCTTTGAAACTAGTGCGAAGGACAATATCAACGTGGAAGAGGTAAGGAATTACGTATGCTTAACTTATTACTATTGGTAGAATGTTTTCATTCTCTTTATCTTCACTGTATTGTAGAATAATAGAATACTGTACTAAAATACTGTATGTAGAATATTGACATACATCGCGATATTCTATACTGTAATTGCATTGTGTAATGACCAGTGCATCTGATCCTGGACAGAGTCCCCTAATGTAACGATCAGGGTTCTCTCTTTCCTGGACTTGGACCCCCAAATGTGACGACCCTATTGGGGTGTGAAGGTTACATTAAAAAAAAAAAGCAATTCCAACTGACTGGTGGATGACTCTTCTCGAGCACTCACTTAGACTCTGGTGGGAAGAAGACTGCTTTCTCTGCACGCGCAGGACAATACGCGGGTAGCCGCCTCAGTCAGTCTTGGCCAGCAGCCTGTGTCAGGTACACACACACACTGTAGTTTGCTGTGACCCGCTGTTAACTGCTGCTCCCTATAGTTATCTATGCCTTCCACCAAAATCTCCTTGCTCCCTCAATTAACTTATCAGGTTAGTATTGGCAATACTCTGGCCAGCTGGAATATCAGTCTTACGTCAGACCAGCCTCTTTCCCAAGTACACCAAGGAAGGTGTAATGACAGTTTAAGCAAGTTTAACATCATTTACTGAAATAATTAATTAATCATATAACACTCATCAAAATAACAAAATAACTATTTATGACTGAACTATGAGATCTGCGTTAATGATAATTTTCCATAGCGTTAATCCAGCGTGTCTCCTGTTCGCCTCGTCTGCAAAATTGATACACAATTTCTCTGTCAGTCCTCTTCACAGTAAATAAGACTAAAGCTACTACTTGGCCACTATGTCACTTCATTACATATATGATTGAATATATATATATTGAATTGTATTAATAATAAATGATAATAGTGTACTTACAGATATATGAATCAATACCAAAATTCAAAACACAGTCTAGCCTCTTATGTTCACCATTTACTCACTGCACAAATAAATCTTACCTTTAAATGAATCTCTTTCTTAAACATAAATGTTATCACTCGTGGTCACTCAGAATACCCAATTTTTAAATCTCTTAAATTGTGGACACTAACATTTCCTCAATTTAGGCCAGCCCTCACCTGGCTGCCTGTGGCTCAGAACACAGTCTCCCAAACTGCTGCTTTACTTGGGTCAATCCTCACACGATTGCCTGCTCTTTGTTTCCCGGGGACATCTGCTCTGGTCCCTCAATTCTCTCAAAGTTCACTTAGCACTTGGACAGTGGCTATAGTAAAATGGTCATTCCTGACTTATGCGCAACAAATAAGAACATTTACAAATTTTTTTTTCATCATTGAATCATTAATTTGTATGCAAAATATAAAAAAAAACATGAACATAAGAGAATATTTATAGTTTCACTGGGTGGAGACTCTGTGAAAGATTGAGTGATGGGTGTGTCTGGTGCCTGTCAACACATTGAGCCCGGCTTTGCTGACAATTCCTGTGTTATCCTCAATTGTTTCACTGATTGTTTATCATTTTTTTCTTGTTATTTACAAGAGTATGTGTAATTACCTAAGTGTAGTTACAGGATGAGAGCTACGCTCGTGGGGTCCTGTCTTCCCGTGGTACACTTTGTCGTATAACACTTTGTAACTGCATTGAAGCGTGTTGTTTGTTTTTATTGCTGTGTTAAAGGTAACAAGTGTGTTGAATAACTAAATAAATCACATAATTCACATAATACATGGTAATGTTTCAATTGATGATGGGTTTACCTGGTATATTCCATTACAACCAAAGAAAGTAGTGAAAAGAATGTAAATTTAAATGTAAAATGAATGTTAACATAATATTCAATGGTGTTGGGCTCTGAGCGATGACATATGGCCTGATTAGCGCCATGTGGGCGAGTGTGTAGATTGAAAGATAGGTGTAAGCTACCAATGTGGCACACACAGGTTATGGAAGGCTCCTAGTACACATAACTATGAAATGGAAGCTGGATTTTTTCATGGGTCAAGGTAAACTTCATTACATCCACAGAAAGGTATTGTATCTTTATTTGAATGATGACCACATTCCCCAAGTGACATTCATGACAATAACCACATTCACCTAGTAGCATAACCATGAAATAGTAGCAGGATTTTAATCATGGGTCAAGGTAAACTCCATTACATCCACAGAGAGCTATTATATCCTTGCATCATACATATAAAACCCAGACAATAATTGTTTAAATCGTAATATGATGATATTCGCATTACCCCATGAATCAAAGAATGACAATAACCACTGTCCAGGGGTTAAAGACGCTACAGGCCTGTCTTTACCTTCAGGGTACCTATAGACCAAACTGTCGGCGTGTGTAGCTCTTGGGTCTGCCTGCTTGCTGGTGATGCACACACTTGGTGACTTGAGTCATTCGAGATTCCACACACTCTGAACCTCCGACTTGACTTTACCTATTACTTCAAGTACGCTTCAGAGTGGAACAGGTCATGGCTGTTTCCATTGACTTTTAGAAAAAAAAAAAAAAAAGCAATGATGGAGTAACAGATGCCAGATGATCAACCTCTTTGACTCTTGGGTGTAAAGTGGCCTGTCTTGGCCAGTCTCCGTGCCCTTTCCTTGTGTGATGTCATAGTCTTGCTTCGCACTGATTGGTTCTGACAGGCAGCGCCATTTTGGTTACCTGGCAACTGGAGCCTCTAGTGCCTAGTATCTCTTGGGGATTTCCCATTTAAGTGGGAAAGAGTCCTTGCCTCCTGGAGGCCTCTTCATCACATATTTATGTTCTTAACATCATAATGCACATACTTGTCCTACCTAATTTTGTCTGACTAAAACACACAGGCCGAATGAATAAACTCCAAAATGATGGATGTCGGACAGGAACACCTCTCATACAGGAGGTGGCCTATGCTAGGCTACCTAGAATCATAACAATTACAGTATCACTAAATAGTGCCGCCTTTCTTGGAGTGCAATAGTCGGGTGTCTTGGTGTGTAAAGCACGGCTTGTTAATTATGCTGTTGCTCTCTAACCTAGATAGAACTGGACATAAGGGAACGATCTGTCCTGCATGGCTTATTGACACTTTAACACTCCGATCCATTGGCACGTCCTCAACTGTAAACACTCTGGGTATCTCGAGGTCACAGTCATGTGTAACATGTTTATATTCTTTTTATGTTGTCTCAATTTTGGGTTATAACTATAAATTTGATGTCAAAATGTTTGCAAATTATTTGGCTAGAATATGGATGCAAAATGTGTTTTGATAATAAATTGTGCTTGACAATCCTGAATATACAAATGCTTATGAACATTTCAACATTGCTCATATATTTTTCAATATTCCTCATTTATTTTTCAACGTACTGTATACAAATTTATGGGAATGTACAAATTGGTATATATCACTGTAAAACATAAACATACCTTTCATACTTTTCTGACAGGTAGTTTGCAAAGCATAGTGCAAATATTCACAAGCAGAGCAGTTACCATCTGAGTGGCAGGTAGTTTGGGGGCCTGACAGCTTAGTGGACAGCGCTCAGGATTCGTAGTCCTGAGGTTCCGGGTTCGATCCCCGGTGGAGGCGGAAACAAGTGGGCAGAGTTTCTTTCACACTGATGCCCCCTGTTTACCTAGCAGTAAATAGGTACCTGGGAGTTAGACAGCTGTTACGGGCTGCTTCCTGGAGGTGTGTAACAAAAAGGAGGCCTGGTCAAGGACCGACCGCAGGGACGCTAAGCCCCAAAATCATTTAAAGATAACCTCAAGATAGTTGGCTGAGGTGATCTCTTGATGGTCCCCTTATACTTTGGTTGGTCCCCTGATAAGCTATCAGGGGCTATGCTAAATCCAGAGGTTTTAAAATATCAGTAACTGTTTATTCATATTTGTGAGAGCAACAAGATGGTTGGTGGGTGGGCTGGCTGGCTGGTTAACTGGCTGGTAGGTGGATTGGTAGACTGGTGGGTTGGGGGATGGGCAGGCAGGCAGGCTTTGGGGATGACTGGCAGGGTGAAGGGGCAGGCTGGGTGGATGGATGGGTGAATGGATGAATCGGTGGCCGACTAGTGGGCTGGCAGGCTGGAAGGTGGGCGGGCAGGCAGGGTGGGTGGGTGGATGGATGGATGGATTGGTGGCTGACTGTCACGCAGATGTGGATGGGTGGGTGGGCTTGGTGGATGGATTAGCCGCTGATTGGTGAGTGGGTGGTTGGGTGGAGTGGGCAGCCGGGATGGCTGGTAGGGAAGGCAGGGATGACTGGCAGGTCGATGGCTGGCAGGGTGGATGGGTGAGTGGGCAGGCGGGCAGGCAGGCGGGCGGGCAGGCAGGCAGGCAGGCAGGCAGGCAGGCAGGCAGGCAGGCAGGCAGGCAGGCAGGCAGTCAGGCAGGCAGTCAGGCAGGCAGGCTGGGTGATGGGTAGGTAGGTGCATTGATGGATGGATCAGTGGTTGACTGGCAGCATGTTCAGGGAGTAGAACTACTCCCGAAACCCTCTCCAGGCGGGCGGACTATTACAGACTGGCTTAAAGGTCATGCCCAATCCATCCCAGCTACTTCTTCCCCACCCCCAATCCCCAAATGGGACTCTCCCAGGAATATCTCCCACCCCTTCAGCCGTGTCTAGATGGTCTGTACCGGATTAATAGGATACAATTTAGATTCTCGGCTACCTTCCTACCAGCTGGTGGCCTGAGAGGCAGGCTGCCTTGCCTAATATTATTTATTTATTTTTTTATTTATAAATAAATGAATAAATAAATACAATAATTAAATGATTGTGACTTGTGACTGAAAGCCTGATTGACTGTGCCTTGACCATGGCTTCCTCTGACTGTTTGCAACTAACTGTGACTGGCTCTGACTAGATGCTGCATAACAGAGGCAATGAAATCTGTGAAGGGAAAATGTAACCGCTGGCCTAGTGAGGGCATAGTTGTCACAACATACCCAATAGTGGCCATCAGTTTAATGCATACCAGACTCT